CCCCCATCTTCCACCTCGCCTTCTCCCCTCGCCCTGCCCCAGCCAGCCCTGGGTAGCCCTTGGGGGGCCACCGGGGCCATCTCCTCTCGGTCGCCACTCCCGGGACACGCAGCTCTGCTCCCCCCACCCCCGAGGATGCTCCCGGGGACCAGGGGCCGCTCGGTACCCGTGGATCGGCCAAGCGGGACGGGAAACGCGCCGCCAGCGCCGGTGCGGTTTCTGATGAACGGATCTCCCGAAACAAAAGTAGCTCGACATTAAAGCTTCAGGATTCCCCCTTTTTCCAGCGTGCAGGTGGGTGGCCCGTACGTGCCCACCTTCCTGAAACGGGGCTACTGTCCCCATCACAGCCTGTAATTAGCCTCCTGCTGGGCAGAACACTTTCCCCTCTCGGTATAGGTGCCACCTCCTTAGGTATTGGAGTGGTAGGTACATTCCTCTATTAGCATTACAGTAAACAAGCATGAAAACTTTTCTTTTTTCCCCCACTTTCTATCCATTATTTGTGCCAGATTCCATCCTTGTGCTACATCTCCAGGACGTTACAAACACGAGGTGCTTTGGAAATACTTGCAACCAACTGTCTAATCTTCCAAGTCCAAATAAAATTAACAACAGTGCTCTATAAATAAGCTTATGTTCGAACTTAGTATGGACAAGAATAGGAAATACAGCCAAATCACATTTCTTTGTGTCTAAGCAATTATCTAATCAAACCACAGATCACTTAAAAGCTGAGGCTGAACTGGGTGATAACAATAAAGTAGGATAGTAATGCCCTACAGTGTCTCATATTTGTTAATACATCTTCTATTTAAATCTTTGTCACTTTTGGTAACTCAATTATCTTCCATGACATCGCACTGTGTTGTTCACCAAAGGCAAGGCTCAACAAGCCTGAGACCTTCAAACTTCAAACTCTAGCTCTGAGATGCCTTCCTTGACAGGTTTATCAGACCTCACATATGATCCAAGGACATGATCCAGGGACCAGGAGTGTTTTTCAGCTTTTTCCCTTCACTCCACCAGCAAATAAAATTGCTTCAGAGCTTTTCGTAAGTTACACTGGCACACTAGATCAGTGTTGTGATCCCTGGCTTCAGGAAGATTAGTATCATGCATATTTTAAGATAATATCATTACATTATATTCCAGGGACTTTGTCAAACACATCTTGATGTACTTAAACAAGACTAGGATAGATCCTAGTCTTTTGGTGTTTTTTGTCATGCAGAATGGTCTGACAATCTCATTGTGGCACTTGCTGTTCTCTGTTGATTCGCTTGCATTTTACAGCACCTCTGCAGTGCAAGTGTCCCAGCAGAGACTGGCCCCATGAAGTCCATAGATCAGGGTTAGAGATCTGGCTATAGATTTGCACTATCCATCACTACAGTACTCGGTTCAGTTACTGGTCTTTGTGAAGTCATCACTCCTGGTGCTTACATCCTGAACATTTCTACAACCAACGATGGCCTTTCTGGTAAATTGATATCAACTCTACAGCAGTTGTAACATGGTGGAAAGGAGCAGAATGTAACCAACATCAATTCTTCATATATCATGAGTTGTTACATGGGTGTGGATATACAGCAGTTTTCATCTGTAAGAGTTATAGAATCCAAATCTTTTACAAAACTTGGCGGCACTTTTGGAGGTCCTAAAATCTTTTTCTACTCTGTGCTTACCATAGAACAAATTTAATCAGTTAAATTAAAAATAAAGTGTCTGTTTGACTGCAGTGATTGCCAAAGATCAAGCTGGCACAGGACACGTCAATTTCTGTGAGAAATGTATGCTATTACTGCTTTCCAGGTTCACGTATGTTCTTCATCTATCTATACCTCCCATTGCATATTTACCCTTAAGTATCATAAACTGGGGCTTAGGCATCTCTGGGAGAAAAAATGAGGGGTTCGTAACCACTCCTCACTTAATGGGCATTTGCTCCCATCAAAAAAAATATTTATTTCAGTGCATTTTCCACAGTGGTTGTTCACCTCGTGCGCTGTTGACCTGCATCTGTTGCCAAACGCAGAGTCAGTGAACCAGAGCGGGACATGGTGCTGCTCACCCTGGGCAGGAGCTGAGCACCTCCAGCTGTGACCAAAGTCACATGGATGGCAGCATTTTATACATCACCCCTAGTGCTCACACAACATCATGTTGTACTTACAATGAAAAGTGAAATTTATTAGCTAATCACCATACAACACTGCAGTAACTTGGGCCGAGAGGTATTATAGTCTATTCCTTTAAATTTAGGGTTTTTAAAGTTAGTGGTTGAGAGAAAATTTGAGGAGAAAGTGCATCAACAAAAATTTAAATGAACCCTTTTCAGGAACAGCTACACAGGAGCAGGTAACACCACATTAAACAGGGAAGAAGAGTACCAAGATCTCCACAAAGTAATGGCATGGGTGGAAAAGCCTCCCAAGACTGTCATGCCACTGCACAAGTACAGCAAAAGAGACAAGACCCCTGTATAGCTCAGTATCCAGTCAAGACTGTCTGATAATATAGCCTCACCTTACCTTTTTTTCTAATAAGCTAAACAACCACAACAGTCTTTCCTTTATCTTTTTTTCATTTTATGCAGGCCTGAAGGGAGAAATAGGTATTTAGGGGGTCAGGAATGGAAACATCCCATCAGCAATAGACTTGGAGAAAAACTGGGAGCAAAAAGCAAGACAAAGAGAAGGAGCAGCCAGGATGTGTGGAGAGGTCCTGGGGTGCAGCTTTGCTCTGCAACTGTCCCAACTCCCATGGGGACACAGGACGAAGGAGCTGAACCTGATACAGGGCAGAAGGCAGGGAGGAGCAGCATCTCTCCTCACCAAGGAGAAGGCCCCAGGCAGCCAGCCCACAAGAGAGGAGCTACAGCAATGGGGACAACCAGGGTCTCCAGAGCCTGTCTGAGCCAGTGCAGAGAAGGGCAGTCATTTCCAACATTACAGGGAAAAACAGCAGCAGATTTGGTAGCATCTCGGACATACAGGGTGAGAGCAGGGACTTGAGCAAGCTGAGTAAGCTGAAGAGGAATGCTCTTCTCCTGTGAACGGGATGGAACTGTCAGGCAAGACCTGAGGCTGCAACAGGCTGTGAAACGGTCCCTGGTGCTGCGTGATGTATTGCTCCCAAAAGGAGCATCCAGGCGCTCAGGCCAGTGTCATCCCTTACCTCTGTCACACCCAGTCACAGCAGCAGTTTTACCATATTCCTTGGTTACTTCTTTTTGGTTTTTGAGCTTGACCTTGAACAGCGATTCGCCTAAGTCTTGCTTCTAGCGTGATTTTACCATGAAGTGGGAAATCTACTGCTTCTGAGGGAAGAAACAAATGTTTGTTTCTCCTTTTATCTTGTGATTTGGAGTGTCTCCTTTGCTATTGTCATACATTCAAAGCAACATGCGTTGTGGTAGAGCACGCAGCATTTGCGGTAAAATATTTTCTGTGATCATCAGAAACCTCAGTTTCACATTTTCAGTTAATTATCTGAGGGAAAGAAATAACCCATTAGTTGCTTCACATGCTCTAGAAAAGGGAAGATGCTACAAAAACCTGTCAAAAAGCTCATTTTAGGAGACCTTCTTTTCTAGAACTGCCCATCTTTAACATCAGGAAGCATGAATTCCTTTTCCCGTGCTTGTTTGATAAACACAGTACCCCAGACACCGGGAAATATTATTTTAACAGTCCAGAAAGTAACATTGTGTTACTGTGCAAACACAAACAGATCCTGTCAAATGCCTCCTTACTGTTTCCTGCAGAATTCACAGCTGGAGTTAGAGAGGGACTTGTACTGCCTGTCAAAACGCATATTAACTGAATTGTTTTCAAACAAATGCCGCCAGGATCCATAGCTGAAAATGGATGTTCCAAGAAAAAGTTACTCCAGGGCAAACTCCAGGACAATTTTTCACTCTGATTTCCAGCTTCTCTATGCACAGCATCATCTCCAGCCCGATCTCATCTCTGCTGTCTCCACACCACCAGCCACTGCCCGGCCTATTGCAAGGAACAGCCAAACGCTGTGGGGCAAAGCCCCCTCGGCACTGGCTGCTCCTGGGTCACCACTGACGCTTTTCTGAGGGATTCTGAAACACCTTGGCTCATTCAGAACACTATGGAATTTTTTCGTGGCATAAACTACTACTCCATATGGAAAGACTGTCAGAAAACTAGAAAAAGTAGTCAGCAAACCAGATAAATGCAATAAATTCTCCCCACCCCATCAAATTCCTCCTAGGACACAGTCACTTTTACATGCACACGTTCAAGTCTGTTGCTTTCACTGCTATTGTGCTGGTGATAATCATACTAAAACATGACAGTCCCTCTTCAGGGAACAATAAATACATTCTACTCAAGTAAAATATTCAAAACCATCTTTAAAAATACGCATTTCCCCAAACCTGTATGGATTCAGCACTGTGTGCAGTTCAAGTTCACTGGTCACAGACCCCAACGATACAGCAATGTGCCATCTTTTGGTTACATACAACGATCACAGCACGAACCACAGCTTTATTTAAGCAAAAAAAATCATTTGTCTCTACACAGCCCTGCTTCATTTTAATTCCAAGGTTGTCTTAAAACATACGTAGTTAAACCAGACTCGGTCTTTAAGCCAAACTGATACAATACTCTGAAACCACCTGAAGAGCATTCCTGCAATAGATATGCATCCAGTTAACAAACCACCCAGACTCGGGCAGACTGAGTCTTCTGTAAACAAGTAAGAGAAAATTTCTGTGTGTTTAAAACCTGAATTGAAATATTTGTCTGAATGGCCTACAGTAGCCAAAACAATGCAATAAATACATAACAAACACACTGGCCTTTCAGGGAACACCTTTGCAGGGAAAAGGAAGCCCCCACATGCAACCAAATACTGCAAAGGGGCCTCCTGGCTCAGCCAGGGACCTGTGTGTTACCTGTGCCATTGTGGTAGGAACAACCACCCAAAAAAAAAAAAGAAAAAAAGAAAAACCACACACACCAGAAAAAAGAGCAGCTCAGCATTGCTAGCTCTATGGGAAAACCTGGAAAAATAAAACCTTCTGAAAACTTCCTTTTTGGAGAGCAGATAATTGGAGGCAGCAACTAAGCCTGTCTCTGAAACCCCCCACTCACCCAGTCAGACAGGGGGCTGGGAAGAGCAGAGCAATCATCAAATTACAGAGAGGCTCCTTCTGTCATCTTAAACCCTTGTTATCAAGTGACACGGAGGATGCACTGAAACACTCCACAAACTGCTCTGTTTTCCAGCTTACTTAAAAACATCGGTGTGCGAGCTGGAGCGATATGGGAGGGGACGGGTAAGATATAAACCTTTTCAGCATCTTTCAGGGAACCTGTGCCTGGTGGAGGTGGCTGCTCAAGGTCCCTCAGGAGCGGGTTCCCACCACCAGCAGGGCTGGCTGGGCGCCCGGGGCTCTGTTCTGGGCAGCGCTCCTGCTCGCCCTGCTGATGAAGACCTCGTCTCTGCCTTGCTGAAAGCTGCATCCCTTAGAGGACTTCGCATGCCACCATGCCAGCTCAGCAGAAGAAAATCATCTTTTGCATCGCCGGGGTGCTGAGCTTCGCCTGTGCCCTGGGGACGGCGGCGGCCGTGGGCACACAGCTGTGGGTGAAGGGGACGATACTCTGCAAGACGGGAGCCCTGCTCGTCAACGCCACCGGCCAGGAGCTGGAGAAGTTTATTGGCAAAATCCAGTATGGGCTTTTCTACGGCGAGCGCGTGAGACAGTGCGGGCTCGGGGGGAGACCTTTCCAGTTTTCATGTGAGTAACAACGGCGTTTGAATTATTTAGCGCAGTGCTGCTGACGGCGAGGGGAGACGGGAGAGAGCTGCCCCAGCCTCCCCCTGCTCACAGGCAGAGCCTAACAAGCATCAAATATTCTAAAGCAAATGCTGCCCTTACAGCGTTCTGATCTTCAGGTTCAAATGACTTTTCTTTTCAGGCTAACATTTTTAACAATCTGTATTTCCATTACACAGATACCTACATTTCAAAAGATTCATACTATTACTTTAAAAAAAAAATATATTTTTGTTTTTCAATTTATCTCTGTCATCTTCCTCTGTCTGTGTGTGTGTGTTGATGTTACATTCTGTGTTCCATCATGAAAGAATGAACTAAGCTAGCAGAAATCTCATGAAAGAGCTGTGGCATAGATACCTTTGGCTGCTGTTGAGAAACAAAGGAGACAAAAAGTTAGCAACCCGCTGCATTAATTGGAGAAACGGCTGGTTGATAGCAGCTGATGCTCAGTTGGTTGATCTACAAACTGAACTTGGTATCTGACGTACAGAATTTTATCAAAGACTGTTAGCAATGGCTTTGCTTTACATGTAATATTCATAACCTATTTATCTTCAAGGATAAGAAGATCAATAAAATGATCAAGTGAACAAACAGCCATTTGTTATATATACAATATGCCACCTGAAGTTATTACAGAACACAGTTTAGAAGCATTCTGCTAAAACAGCACTGGTAAACTGCTTACACGACTCATTTAAGGCAAGGCAAGGTTACCAGATTAGGTATCAGAAATTATTTACTACATAACATTTTTTCCAGAGTGGTAGACCAAATTCATTTAATATAATATTAATATTTTCCATCTCTAATTAAATTCCATCATTAGTCTATTTATACAGCTGGAGTTCTCCTTGATTGCTTTGTTTGCTGCCACAGTGCACAGATATTCCACCCTGCCAGTTATAGGCTGGGGTGAATTTCCAGAGGGGTCTACGAAATCCCAAGGAATTAATTTTCTGCTGTAGGTGACAGTGTTATGAGCCACAGCTGACAAAGGTGCTGGCAATCAGCAGGGCTGTGACTGACATTTGTCCAGGTTCATTACAGCGATGGAGCTGTGAAGCACAGCTAAACTCTGTAAAACGAGGACAAGATGCAGCAGGACTAACCCCAGCCACGACAGGCAGCCCCCACGCTAGAGACAGCCCCTAATAATTCTATTTTCACATGTTTTTTATTTAGATACTTCTAAACTGTTTCACTAATGTCCCTTGCATTCAGGCTCCCATCTGTACATTTCATCTTGTTATGGATGAAATATTTTAATATATTGCTAGTGTGATTGTAGCAATAGTTAGAAAATATTTTTAATTTTGCGAGCGGTGTGAATTAATATTACAGGTGGAAGAGAGAATACAATGCACAGCTTGTTTGTGATGATTTAATAATATTAATCATTACATCTTAGGTATCTTGCAATGCTACATCTAGGGAAGCTCTAGATCTGTGCAAGTACTGCAGAACATTTTCAACCAAAATTACTGCAGGGTTAAAGGAGTTTGCTCTCACTATGGCCAAACACTTTCTATCCAGGCTCTCAGGAATCTCACACAACCAACCTTTCCTATCCAAATGTTTCCTAAATTTGCACTCATTAGTGTTATTTCAATGGAGCATGTAAACACAAATGTAACCAAAGAACAAAAATAATACTGTGTGAAGCTTTTGTTTAGTCCCAGCTAAGCAACCCGCTTCAGAATGGTCAAAACCCCAAAACCTGGGTGTTCATACAGAGCTGCAGAATCCTACTGCACAGGACAATATTAAAAATTAATTTCTTTAATAGGAGTGCCTAATGTACATATCCAAAGAATTCCAGGGCTTTCAAGAATTGCATGAGGAAGAAAACATTGAAAAAGCAATTCACTCAACGTCAGTAAATATCACCATTCTCATTTTCAGACAGAGAAAATGAGGTTTGAAAAACGTGCTTCAATGCCTGTTCCCAGGATCTGAAATCTAGGCTGGATTTAATCTTCCACCTGAGACTCCTCAGGTCAGAAGATTGCTGCCATGCCTGGGATGGAGCAGCATCCCTCGTTTCCCCATACCCACTGCCCTGCCCTTTGGGCATCGGTCACAGCAGCAGCAGAACCAGCAGGGCTGAAGTGCTGGGGTCAGAAACGCAACCCCAGAGCCTTCACCCACCTCACACTCATCTCAAACTTGCCTATTAGAGCATTCTTTTACCTTTAACTCTCCTTTTGCACAAGCCAAGCATTAATAGTGAAATACTTGAATAGCTCTCACTCACTCTATTGCATGTCCACAGTGAGCCTTAGAAAGGATACTGCTACAAGGTGATCTTTGGCACTGGGTATACCCGAAGTGTAGCCCAGTTACAGCCTAAATAACTTCACAAGCCCAGCTGTAGGGACATGGCAGTCCACAGGGCAGGCTTTGCCTCCGTGAGCTGTCGCTGACAGCTGATGGTGGAAGTGTTGATGTCCTCCTTACAAATTGCTCTCAGATCACCTTTTATTTTGATTAAAAAGCAAACACAACACTGCCTTTAACAGGATTTATATTTAGGAAAAGTGGTTGGGTGGCTTAGCAAAATATACCTCTACTAGAAGCGGTCACTTCACGAAGGGGCTGGTTCACCTTCTCTGGGGCTGCAGCAGAACCATCCCATCCAAGCCAGAGCTCTCAGGAACTCACTGGGAGCCTCCCGGGAAGCAGGATAACCATATACAATATACACATCCACAGCTTAATGCACCAAAGTGCACTTTAGCCTGTCTGAGAAGAAAAGGCACGGAAAATAGGCTAAATGATTTAGTTCTATGTTTGTTCCCATTAAATGCTCCCCTCTGACCACTATATCTCTTTTAATTGTAAAATGAATTTGCCCTGCCAGCAAACCCAGTTCGGCTGGGGAAAGCCTTCTGCCTCATTTGCTCTTGCTGATTCTCATCAGTTTCTGGGTCAGCAGTTCATTTTCTAAAGGTCGCTGGCATGCATACCCAACACACAATTTCATTCATTACAATGAAGGAATGTTTTCCTTTCAAGACAATATAGCTGCTGGAATTAATTTTTCCTGATATGTCACATATAAAATTTTAATGACATAAACCACTATAAATGCAGGTGCCAAGGGAAATATTCAATACGACACAGTAATATGTTTTCTTAAAATAAACAATAAAGAATTGTATTATTAACGACACAGTTTTGTGTGTTCTCCCAAAAGATCAGATAGTGTTGCAAGGATTAATGCTGTTCTTTGTACAAGTTCTGCAGAGGCAGGGGCTCCTCAGCCTTTTTGCTGGCTAGCTGAGTGCTACAACAGAAAGATTGTGCTGTATACCAGGCTAACAGTACGACTGCTTCTTATGCTTGTAAATACATGAAATGTGCAATATAAAGCCTAATAAACACAAAGTCTAGCTTCTAAAACATGCTTTGCGTTTTACAAGGATGATAGAAGGAATTGAAGCACCAGTGGCACAACTGGGCATAGAATCATAGAATTGCCCAGGCCAGAAGGGACCTCCAAAGGTCATCTAGTCCGACCTCCCCGCAGTCAGCAGGGACATCCCCAACTAGACCAGGTTGCCCAGGGCCTCGTCGAGCCTCTCCTTGAATATCTCCAGGGATGGGGCCTCAACCACCTCCCTGGGCAACCTGTTCCAGTGCTCCACCACCCTCACAGTGAAGAGCCCTCTCCTAATCTCCAGTCTAAATCTGTTCCCCTCCAGCCTGAAGTCATTTCCCCTCGTCCTGTCACTGTAGGCCTTTCTAAACAGGTTCTCCCCAGCCTTCCTGCCTTTTACACAGGCAAATTCTTCCTTTAGATAAACAGGTACATTTAGTAAACAGGTAATTTTGCTGTGCACATGCCCAGACAGTGGGCAGTTGTGTTCCTGGCCTGGACCCAGCAGCCCCAACCCCCCTGCACTTGGGCAGCATCACAAACAGTGGTCACAGGGCTCCACATGCCCCCGTGCCCAATGAAGGTCCCCAGACCACAGTCCCCCGTGGGCACTGGGTCCCCCTCTCTGCTCCCAGCCAGCCATCAACACCACAAAAGGTGATATTCACTTAGCGCAGCTTCAAGAATAGTTTACAAACATTTGCTTCATTAATTTCCCTTTCATTTGGTCAGGGAGATAAATTGACTCGACGCCACATTACCTGCTTCTTTGTGTTTACTGTGTGGCAAACTGCAGAACTGTTTGCTGGTAAACATTTTACAAGGTAGAGTAATTTATTGAGGCTTTTTTTACTCTCTGCATGTTACAGCTGCAGCGAGGCAGCGCCGAGGCGTTATTACCCCCGCTTTAATCGTGCCCCTGTGGATCGGGAGCAGTTAAGTGTGTTTGATGATTTCTTCTAAAACACCCGTTGTTGCCAAACAAACATGAATGATTAAAAATTATTCTCTCAGACCGAGTCTGATTGACTATCCCCTTGTGCCCTGGCTAAGCAGAATCACAGTTTGAAGTAGTAGCTAAAAAGCTGCATGAAAAAAATATTTAAAATAAAGTATTCCTAAATTTTTGCATACATAGTCACACCGGCCATTACACGGCTGGGATTCAGCACAGCCCGTCAGGCAGAGCTTCGTCCCGCAGTGGTCATTAATGAAGCAATCATTAACAAAGTGCAAAAGCGGACACACCATTTGGCTGCTGCTTCCCACTTGGGGGTCCTGACCTGCTCCCAGGACTCTGCTGGGGCAGCACCTGGGGCGAGAGATGGAATGGCAAAGGCAGCTGATGTGAAAGTTTCCAGCTTTTGGAAACTTAAAATTCTATAGCACATGGCGGAAGTGTTCCATTAAGTGTGTGACACAGGCAGTACCAGCATCTCCCAAGCAATGTCCTCCTTAACGCTCCACTCCCCAGAGCAAACCTCTGCCACAAACACCCAGCATTTCACCCGCCAGCAGGAGGGGAGCAGCTGGAGGATGGGGCAGCACCCCCTTCCCAGCTGCACACTCCTTTTGTGTCTTCTGTCTCATCTTATCCTGGTACCCCACTTTTTTTATTGCATGATTTGTCCATTTCCTCTCATTGATTTATCATCTTCCCTTTTTGGCCTTGGGTTTCCAGGCACAAAAAGTTCCACGGGTGTTTTACTTGGGGAAATACAGGGGAGAAAATTTTGATCATATAAAATTCGCTTACTCTTTCAAAATTTCATTCATAGAGTTTGTTGCAAATAATTCTGATGTAACTTTTAGTAACTTCTCCCTCTTTAGTACCGTATTTTAAAAATAACTTAAGTTTAATGTACGTACAGATGTATATCCCTTTTTTATTTTTAAGGGTTTTTATCAAAATACCTTTTTTTTTCTCCCTATTTTCTAAAAATAGAAAAATCCCGAGGGATAGGAGGTAAGAAACCTCCAATCCTTTAAGTGTCTGCCTGTCTCCTTGGCAATAACTGTTAGTGGATTTTCACAAGGAGCCTCCATACTATAAACAACTTCACACATTCTCTTCCCCAGATATCGTGTTCCCAGAGCCCTGAACGTCTCCCAGCAACACACAGTGCACAACACAATTAACCTGCCAGGATGTCAGCACTGCGGCTTCACTAATGATCTCCTACTTCTTCATAATAAGATGTGGACCTTTTAACTTACAGATCTATTGCCTAAGGTTTTCAGAAAAATACCCACATATTTTGGGTATAAACTTACCCAAACAGCACTGTATATTTGTATAAATTGAAGTGGTGAAATTGCTGCTCTGAAATAGAAAGGGAATCAGCATCCACACCTGGAGAAGCTCTTTGCCTCCCCAGCAAAGTGGCCAGACCCTAATGTTTGTGCACTTGAGACACATCAGATCTAAATAAACCACACACAAGAATATGCTGTTCATGTTAAAGGACCAAACACCCCCTTCACAGATGGTAGGCATGTTACCCTCCACCTTGCATCTGCATCATCTGGTTTCTGAGGAACAGATAACCCCCAAAACCTCACACCACCCTGAACAGCACCTGCAGGTGGAAAGGAGTCTGCTCTGCCTGCACCGGGGTGACGGAGCAGCCGCTGAGGATGATGATCCAGATCAGGTCCCCAGCATTTAAGGAGCCATGGGCAGGGTGCCAGGATCACAAAGGTGCCATTCTGCATACATCACGGGGCACAGCTGTGGCAGGGGCAGCAACACACAAAGGGAAACATGCTCGAGAAGGGGAGGGAAACCTTTCCCTGGAGCTAGTCTTTCTCTGCTGGCCAGTCTACACTTCTGAGTATCACAAAAAGCTTCTGCCTCCAAGCATCCATGAAAACCTGTTTCTAGTTAAGAACTTCATTTTCACCTTTGTTTGCATTTGGAAGAGCACAATTAAAACAATTATAAAAAATCAGAAAGAAATCCCTGGCCTGGCTTCTAAAACGACTTTCCTAATTTGTGTAATAATGTTTTGTCTGTTTTGTTTTTAGTTTTTCCAGATTTGCTCAAAATTATCCCTGCCAGTATCCATGTTAGTGTCATTCTCTTCTGTACAGTACTGATCGTCTTTGCTCTGGTGGGAGCAGGTTTCTTCATGTTCAATGCTTTTGGCAGCCCTTACGAAACCCTGCACGGCCCCATCGGGTTGTACCTCTGGAGCTTCATTGCCTGTAAGTACCACCCACCCTCGGGCTAACACCTCTCCAGGTCTGCTACTTGCCTTGACCAATTTATTGACATAGGAGACTGTGGTAAGGACCACGACTGCATTGACTCAAAACTGGGAAAATAAAGCTAGGCAGAAAGGTGGATGATTTGACTGTATCAAAAGATGTTTTTTCCAAATTCGAGTTAGAGATAAAATGCCAAATCCTCTGCGAGGGAGGGCAGGGGGACAGGCACAGGGAGCCCCTGCACTTCTGGCCCTTCTGTGTCAGCTGGTAGAAAAAGGGGATGGTGCCCAGGAGCTCTGAGGACCCAGAGCTGGGGCCACATCACAGATGCACAGCACAGAGTCAGAACTAGAAATCACACCAGAACAGGGAAAAGGCTGGGGGGGGATAAAAAAAACAAACCCCCAAAAAAAAAAAAAAAAAAAAAAAAAAAAAAAGAAGTCAGTGATGCAACTGCCCGAATTCACCACGATGAGAGGCTTCCAGCTGTGCAAGCAAGATCACCACTTACACCAGCAAGACTTTCTCAAGGAAGGGAGGAATTGAGAAGTGGAGAGGGAGAGACTGACAGCAACTTGCTATAATGGCAGTCTCCAAAAAAACTCCACCAACAGGGATAACGGACCATCCCTGTCCCTCTGCCACTTACAGAGAAGGTAAAGCCCATTCTCTGTATCGCTGGCTTGGCTGACAATAAGATTTGCCATTACTTTACAAGGTATTACGTATTACAATCATAATTTAATAAAGGACTTAAGTACATATTTATCTTTAAACATGCAGACAGTTCAGTTATGTTCAATGGGACAATGAGCAGCTTAAAGCTGAAAAAGAACACAGACACGTTGCTGGATTAGGGCACTAAAGCAACCGTGCTAAATATTATGGGTCCTAAGCCAAATTCAACTAAAAAAAGCTTAGTAATTTCAACAACTGTTGGCTTGGATGCCAAAAAGAACCCCTGCTAAAGCTAAGTTATGGTAGCCATAATAACACTATCAATATAGCATTTGGTTGGGATGTGCATGACATGGGCTCGCTGCAGGGATGGTCAAGATGATGAGCATCTCCCTCTCCATTTCAGGTTCCTGTGGCTGCCTCATCATGATTCTCTTCTCTTCAGAAGTGAAAATCCACCACCTTTCAGAGAAAATTGCTAATTTCAAAGAGGGAAGTTTTACATTCAAGACTCATAGTGAACAGTTTGCAAATTCATTCTGGATCATCCTGGTTTGCTCCCTGGTGCACTTCCTGAACGCCTTGCTAATACGATTTGCTGGATTTGAATTTCCCTTTTCAAAATCAAAAGATTCTGGGACAATCACTGGAGCAGCTGACCTGATGTATTAGAATTCCATAACTGAAGAACATTTCAAGCAAAAAGGTTCATCACTACTTCATCCAACCACCACCAGACGTACTAACTTGTAAATTATTAGCTCTAGAGAAGTTCTAAAAAGTTAAGGTTTCAAACAAACATCAATATGGCATATGCAGTAAACAAAAGCAGACACGCTGTTTGGTAATGTCTAGATGAAAATAACCTTCTCTTCCTTGGGGTAAGACCTTATGAAGACATCTGCCTTTTTTTCCAGTGAGTTATTTGGAAAGTAGCTGGTATGAAGAAAACTAGGAATATCAATAGCATTGAACTGAGTCTGGGAAGTAAAAGAAATGGGTTGCAATGGAGGCACAGACTATCACCAGCACCTTTAGACCTTGTGAAGGCAAGGATGCATCAGGGTGGTGGAGAACAAGGATGCCCAGCAAATCTACAGACATCAAATGAGGAAAAAAACATAGGGGTTTTGCTCATAACACACACCGGGCTACATCTCAGAAGCACAATGCTCAGAAGGAACACAACACTATAGCAAGTGTTTGTAGGACAAAACGCAGACACCTGAACCCACCACTAACATTTTTAACCTAGCAGCGCACACAATTCATCATTTCTGTACATAAAGCTCTCCTTGGGTTTTGGTTTTTTTTAGTTTCAACAAACCAAATGGTACCTCTTCGTCCTCTCTGAGGTCCCAAAAGCCCTCATTTCCTCATGCAACCACTGTAGCTGGGGGCTTCACAATCTCAGTTGAAGAACTGCACACAGAACGGAATGGAGGGGAGATGCCTCCCTCCTGCTTGCCCGAGAGAGGCAGCCTGGCTCAGTGCTGCTGAACAACCCTCTGCAACACACAAAGGCAAAGAGCATTTCCCAGAGGTACCTTTCACATTGCACTGCATCCTCCCAAAGCCTCAGGGCCAGAAGCAAGAAGAACCCTGCCCAGAAAACAGCCCTGCAAACTTGCTCTCATCAAACAATACAAATAAACAAAGTCAAAACCTTTCACAAAGAGCAGCAGTGTAACCACACCACAAACAGGCTTACAAGGCATAGAATCATAGAATGGTTAGAGTTGGAAGGGACCTTAAAGATCATCCAGTTCCAACCCCCCTGCCATGGGCAGGGACACCTCCCACCAGACCAGGTTGCTTCAAGCCCCATCCAACCTGGCCTTGAACCCCTCCAGGGATGGGGCAGCCACAACTTCCCTGGGCAACCTGTTCCAGTGTCTCACCACCCTCACAGTCAAGAATTTCTTCCTAATATCTAATCTAAATCTCCCCTCTTTCAGTTTAAAAGCCTTACCCCTTGTCCTATTGCTCCACTCCCTGATCAAGAGTCCCTCCCCATCTCTCCTGTAGCCCCTTTAGGGACTGGAAAGGGCTCTAAGGTCTCCCCGGAGCCTTCTCTTCTCCAGGCTGAGCAACCCCAACTCTCTCAGCCTGTCCTTGTATCAGAGGGTCTCCACCCATAAACTTCTGCAAGACAGTTAAAGCAACCAAATCACTCACCCCAGGTACAGCTGAGCCAGCCCAGACACGGACAGGTTGATCAGAAGAGCATCATGCCACCAAACACTACCTTCAGGGGGATTATGTAGGTGCCTTGGAGATGAGGCGCTCCTTATAGGCCACGCAAACAACATTCAGAGCAGAGAAGAGAGGAGGTGGACAGGGAAACAACCACTTCCTCAGCCACCCACGCATCTGCAGGGGTTGCAGCCTCCTTCCACCCAGCTGTGTGTGAGGAGCAATCCCACCATCACCCATCACCTGCTGTGGAAACCAGGCACAGGTGCCTCCTAGAACTCCCCTCTGAAAACTAAATCCTTCAAGCTCTAGCAACTTGCCAGATGACCTCACTGACTTTTATGCCATTTTTTAAATACTTTTACTATGAACGGCAAAACATTGCTGGGTTTTTTTGTAAAAGGTTTGTCAGCTCTGGTTTGTCAGCTCTGCCCCCACTCTGCCTCCCCATGCTGAACTGTATCTCCCTAGATTTTAACAATGCCTAAGGGCTACTCCAAGTTGCCCTGGCCCCCAACTTTTTTTCATCATTTGCTTCTTAATTAATATGCATATTCTTCTTAATGTATCTTCTTAATGCATAATTTGTATTACATCTCATGGCATTGTTTGTTATACAGCAAATAACGAGGAAAAATGTTTCATCTTTCTTCTTCCTGATGTTCTGTGAAGCTGCTTGGCTTTGCAGTTCTGTGGCAGCTCTGACAACCAGGTGGGATGCACACACTGCTCCCCTGCCTGCGTCTTTCAGAGTGGTCCTTGCCGGTCCTGAAGAAGGAGCTGGCCCATATCTGTAAAATCCAGAGTTGCACGGACCTGCCTCAGCACAGGGGATGAACCCATCTCCATCCCTGCTGCTGTGCAGGAGAGAGCAGCCCCTGACTCAGGGTCCAGGTGTTGTCACGGTGGGGTCACCTCACCAACAACCCGGCTCCACCACTCCCCCCACATCCTGCTCCACTCACCAGCATGAGCCCAGCTGTTATCTTCATTCATATCCAGTTCCTAAGGCAAACATAACAAACTCTTACTAGCCAAATAAAGCCGAGACAATATTTTTGTGTTTGACCAGCTGAAAGTAAGAGGCAGAGCAAGCAGGACCTGCTCAGCTGGGACTCCTGGAGCAGCACCAGCACGTACCCTGTGCCTCACTTGTAATCCATGTGCATCAGCTAAAGAAGTTTTTCCCTGTTTCATTCTAGACTAGCATATTTCATGATTTAAAAAACTACAAGAATTGTGTAGTGAGAAGAAATATACGAATATATTTTGAAGGTTCTTGAAAAATCAGATTTTTTCATATCCCAATAAAAAGTTAGTATGCACATGTGTCCATATGTGTGTGCGCATACATAAAAACACAAATATATATATGTATATACATACACAAGGATGTGTACCAGATTTAAACCACTGGCCCAGGATGCTGATGCAGGGGGGAGTGAAAAAGCACCATGTTGCAGATGTGGAGCTCACCACGCTCTCTGGACCCATTTTGCACCCCACTGCTGTGACCCCCTGAGCAGGGACCATGGAGGTCGCTCTGCTGGCTCCCGTAGCAGCCCCTTCTAAAGCATATCCACCTTAACCTTTCATTGTCAAAGTTACACCCCAAGCAGAGATCATTTATCATTTGGAAACAGCATAAACAACAGACTTAGCTGACTCCCCTGCAACCACGCAAGCCGTATGCCCACGCTGAAACCTGCGGAGGTAGCTCCATAAAGCACAGCCAAGAAATGGCAGAGCTCAGCAGGGCTCTGCACCGTGGAGCAGCTCAGGCACCAGTGTGGCAGGAGCAGTGCTAACGAGGCCAGACACCCTACAGCCTGGCCTGGGGAGCGGTGGGCCGAGGGACGCCTGGCACAGGAGGGATGCTCAGCGACGTCTGCAGCTGTAGAAATGCCAGCGCCGCTGCCCCAGCGAGGAGCCTCTCCTCTCTGAGTTATTGCAGAGCTGAGATTGTGCTATGGAAGAAGTTAATTAAGATTCACAACTTCCCCTCTGATGCCTCAAAGCATTTACCTACATCGTGGAGAAGTCAGAAGAGATCTGCATCGAAGCCCTGTTGACACAAGTGGGGATTTCTCCCCTTGGGCCAATATTCACTTGTCTCTCCAGGGCAAGGGCTTTGACATCTGGAGACAGAAGCTGCCATGAAAATGCAAAGTTGCATTAACTTCTTAACTGCATTATTTTTGCTGCTGGTCATTGTTCCCATCAGAGGCTGAGAGGTGTAGGTCCAGGTCCCCTCCGGCCTGGCAGTGGCACGTGGACAGGGGTGTTGCTCAGCTGCCATCGCTCTGAGGTTGGACTTCATCCTCTCCCTGGGAGGCAGCAGGCAGGCATGCAAAGGGCCCAGCCTGGAGGGAGGTGGGAAATGGGAAGAGGGGAACCAGCCCCTCGGCAGGGACAGGAAGGGCCGGGGGTGTGTGGATGCTGCAGGCAGCCAAGGGATGGGGTGTCCTGTGCCATGTCCTCCTGCCAGTTTCACAGACCAACTGCTGAACCAGGCAGGGAGGGTCTGCCTCCTGTGGCCAGGTCCTGGGCTGTTCGCTGCCCTCTGCCTGAATTTGTCATCGCCACCAGCACCAGAAGTTATGTAGACTTGATGTGCAAAACCACATTTCAGTCCGGCATTCTGCGGGAGGACACCGTGTCAAGCACATTATAGACGGGCTGATACCATTCCTGATGGAAAACATGAGAGTAGGGTACAGGACACTGTTCCCCAGCACAGCAACTGCTCTGACATTTCACCTGATGTCTCCAGAAGAGCACGGTTCGCTAGGAAGCCATCTGCATGGAGAGGAGAGCTGGGTAGTGATGCTTCCACCCATTTCTCAGGAGCAGGTGCTTGGTCCCAGCAATGGACAGTTCTGCAGAGCCAGGTTCATTCCCCTCTGTCATAAAATATCCAAATTTGGCGAATTCTCTAAATCTGGAAAGGCTGCTTGTCCCACACCCTGATTTCTTACCCCTGGAACAACACGGTCTGGTTTCCATTAGCCTGTTCCATCCCACTTTACTTACAAATGTGGGGTAGAATTGATCCATGTTGGTAGCGGGGCAATGCAGAGCTGCTGCTGCAAACCTCCCCTGCACACGGAGGAGTTTCTGTGTGAGAGCTCTCACCCCACCAGCACATGGTGGTGCTCACCCCAGCACACTTAGCATGATGCTCCCACCTAGCTCTTCCCCAGCCTTCTTGCAAGCAGATCTGTGTGGTTCCCACTCAATTTGTTGGAAACGTGATGTACTCTACCTGTTCTATAAGGAAGTTCTGCTCCAATAGAGGCAAAGGGGAAGAGGGATTTTATGTCAGTTTTTAGGAAGCCAAAAGACTGGAGCCTGTGTAGCATTAGAAAGAGAGCAGAGCTTTTCACCAAGTAAAGCCACAGCTCCTTCAGCTGGAAGAAGAAACTGGGCATTTGGTGTCTCACACGCAGGCTGGCCTGGATAGTTTCTGTTTTCATAGATTTGAGCCAAGCAGTTCCAGCTGACCCTGCAGAGAATGCAAAGCCATCAGAGCTGGACTGCTCAGACAGACCAAGCACAGACACACCTGGGGAAACCCAGAGCAGGTCTCCAGTGCGCCAGGCTCAGCTCATTAACATCAGCTCAACCTCACGTTTTTTCCACTGAAACTCAGACAGATACCCTGGGTTGGTGCATTCTCACAGACCGAAAGAGAAGAAAACAAACCGTGAGATTTCCATAACCCCAGAAGCAAGAAACCAGTGGGTTTCCCCAGCTCAGCCACGCGGCGCCTGAGCCCTGTCCCTGAAGGCCAGCCTGGCTGCAGCAAGCGGCAGAAGTCAAGGAAACATCACTGCATGGTTTTGCCTTTCTCCAGCTCATCTCTCCAGTGAATTTCCTCAACTTTACAGGCATCTGCTAAGCCTGTTTTGGTTTTTTCTCTTAAGCATTTCCCACCCAGCCCTCACAGCCCAGACTCCATCCCGCTTGTCATCAGCCAGTGCAGGGGGGGCTGCAGCTGGAAATTACCCCCAGCTCCTGCACCGTGCCTGCAGCCAGTCCTTACAGAGCTGCCGTCAGCTTTATACACCTCTGTGTCGGGCATTAAACATTCATGCTGCTTACACAGCGAACAGAAAAACACAGCCTATGATGGGATCCAATGAAAGTTTAATTGGGGCGTGAGGGTGGGAGATGAGAGCGAGCCCCAGGGGGTGACAGGCAGAGGGGACCTGGGTGCCTGGCAGAGTTGTGGGGCAGGAGGAACCATTCCTGGAGCAGTCCGAGTGCCTCCATCCTTCAGCATCACCTGGAGCAGGGGTGGCTGCAGATGGGGGACCGGGAGGCTGAGCCCACCCTGTCACGGACAGAGCTAGAGGAGATCACCAGCAAAATTTCAGATCTAAACAAATGGAGAGAAATTTTTAGTTTCCGTGGGTAAGATTTTTATTCTGCTTCATTATCATGTTTTTAATTTCAGGTGGTTTTTTAAATATAATTTGTAAAGTTATGTTTTATTACGATACTTATGTGACCATGGAAAAAGTTCTTAATGTACATAGTAATGTAAGTACTATAGCTTTTACCCTTCCTTTCTTGTGGGGTTCTTTTCTGCCTGTTTCTGTCTCCTGTTTCTTCATAAGTTAGCAATGCCTCTGTTGTGTGGTTTTTTAAATTTGTATTTTATTTTCCCTTTTCAGTTTGGAAAGCAACAATTCAACTCATCAGGTAACTGTTTCTCTAAAATGTAACATCTTCTTTTTGTATAGTGGTTTTTCTGACTGTTCCACCAATTTAGCATATTGAGGAAATCACACACCTATATATGCAGCACAGCAGACAGCCTGTCTTTATTTCTTAAGCTCCTCCTTTAAGGAACATGCATTTTCTTCAGATATTTTAAAGGAATGCCTTCCTGATTTAAATCAAAGTGGCAGAATAGTCCAACATAAATTAACCTTTCTGTCTAAAAGTAACGGTTCTCGTGGTCAGATTTAGAACACAGGAAAAAAAGGATAACAATTTAAGATCTCTAAAACATAAGTATTTGGAAAACCTGCTGTGTTTTTAGGTTGAAAAGCGCTGAAGTTTATTCCCTGTAATTCAGACAAACACAACATTACTTTATACTCCAATCATTAGCCTGTAGGGTCATATTTGTAAAGTTTGAAAAAAACCTGCAACTCTAACATGCCAGTGACCCCCAGCCACCAGTATCCAGTCTCCCTGCCCCTCTGGAAGCTCACCACAGGTCATTTTGCCCACCCCACTGGGAATATTGGTGGGGGGGTGGGAAGTAACTGTCAGTACACACCAGGCAGCACCGTGGGACGATGCCCTGTCTGCCCCTCTCTCTGTCCAGCCAGGCCAGGCCAGCAGCAGCAATGGACTACCTGGAGATGGAGACCCCATGGGGCCACAGCCACCTCTGCCCCCCACCGCCGTCCCCAAGCCCCTCCTGGTCCCTCCAGACACAGGTGGCCGACCCATCTCCTTGGAAATGGCAATGGTGAGCAGGCCTGCTGAATTAAGCATGAGTAGTAATTTAATCTTGTTAACAGAAAGAGACTCAGGAACCTTACCTGGCGTCACGGGAGGCTCGGCGTATTGCTGGGCTGCAGCCTTCGGCCTTCTGTTACCTGTAACAGAAGTGTATCATCGTCATGATTTATTTACAAGACTTTTAAAGAACATGGTTGCAACACAACCTTAAAACTGACATACTATAATTCTCATTAGATAATAGGTCAAATGACAAAGTGTAATGTTTCCCTGCTGTTTGGTGCTTTCCTAGGGAATAGCCTCAGAACAGAGAAGATCAGCAAGATATTTCTACTCCTACCCAATTACCTGGGTTTGAGAGTGCCAATCATGGGTGCTGCTGCCCCTGCCCCTGTGAAGGGCCTTCACCAGAAGCTCAGGGGGTTTCTGCAGGTGATGGCAGAATGGGCCAGGGCCAACCTTACTGCTCCTGACCTCCCACACCAAACCAGTCTCCTTCCACTTCAGCACAAACTTAATGAGATGCCCAAGGGCTTAATACCAGAGGTGACAGCCTGGCCAGGGCAGCCTTATTGAACACATGTCTGAAAACTTCCAGTCCAGAGGTGATTTAGATACACAACTACACATACTGTCAGCTTCACGGGAATCCACCCTCTCCAGCTCATCACCTACTTGCACAAATCACCCAGACCAGTGGCGAGCACTTTTTAATGGGAAGAGCCACGACGTATGTTTGGTTGACTTTGCTCAGCGAATGCATCGTTCACCAGAATTAATTAGGAAAAGGTTCCAGGTGGGCCCAGGCAGTGCCCAGATTCTCGGGGTGGTGCGGAGGAAGGCCAGGAGGCAGGTTCACCCCTCTGGCCACTCAGCATGAGGGTACATCATGGGGCCACCACCTGCCCATGAACGGCACCCCCCTGCCCTTGCTGCCATACGCTTGTGTTACAAGTTACCAGAAATGGAACTCATCAATATCATCAGAGACTGCAAGCACATCTATTTCAGGTGGAAACCACATGGTTTTTTGAACTTTCTCTTTTAATTCAGCTGCCAACCCACAAGCTGCCTGTGCGTGCCTGGCCACATCCTGGACTGGGACCTGCTCAGTGATGACTTTGTCCGCCCTCCGAGGGTGACCACAGACAAACCCTCCTCTGCTTCCCACCAGCACTGCACCGCCCCGGCCACGGCTGCACAGCCACTTTATAGAGGGTTTGCAGGGGCAAACACAGGTGTCTAATTCTGTCCCCAGAGGTGCCACTGATGAAGGCAAGTGCCTTGCCCAGGTCTTCCCCGAAAAGGCGTAGTGTATCCGGATGTAAATTATTTACACACTGCACCTGTACTTCACAGGAGTGGCTGAATGCTGAGTGAAGTCACTACATTAACCACAAACATCACCTTTGCTTTGAAATTATGGGGCCTGATTCTTGCTAGGTGATTTTACGCTGCTCTGGCTGTGAGCACACAGACTGAACCCGTACCCGAGACCTCTCTGACATTACAGATCCTTCCTGGTGCTCGGGTGTGAAGGGAGCCGAGCCCAGCCTGTCTTTCTCCTTCTCTACAGAGGCTGCGAAAGCTGCTGTTTGGAAACACGTCCCACCTCTTCAGCTGTGAATGGGCACAAGCGTACTTCAGGTTCCGCGAGCCGTACTCTGACCTGGCCTATGCTTTAGAGGCAGAAAAGGTAAATGTTTCGGCGCAGCGATACGAACCATCTCCCCAGCATCTCCCGAGCTCTCTCCACCAGGTTGATTGTGGGGGCTTCCAGCCCCAGCCATGCTCCACAGCTCTCCTGAGCGAAGAGGGGATGCTGACGTGTCCTGATCCAGCAGCACACTGCAGACACAAACTTTAACTGCCACAGTATTCAATGCTTTCAAGGTAAAGGCTCAAGAGAGAAGCAGGAGGTTGTTGTAGGTGGGCACAAGTAAGTGGTACTGCCCTTTTCTTTTTTAGAAATTAGAGTTACCTTCTTCTTACTGCCCCACTTGGAAACCAAACCATGTTTTCATCCGCCGAAAGAGGGAGATTTTCTTCTTTCTTATTTGCCATCACAATACTGCCCCCCAAAAAGGAGAAGGCAAAGATACACACTTAAAATTGCAACTGCCTTTAACCTGCCAGGAGACTAAAATGCTTTTTACAAATGCAGGTGAAAGTCTCTGAGTCATTTGCAGAGATGATGACAGCCCTGATGAGGGCAGTCAGCACAGCTAGGAGCTGGGCATGGTCACCCTCGTGCACGGCCCCACATCAGCCCCACGCTGCCTCAAGACCCCAGTCCTTTGCTGCAAGGCTGGAGAAGAACCAAGCCATGGTGCTTCTAGGCACATGTGGTACCTGGAGCTGGGAGCCCTTCCCTGTGGCTGCAGTGCCACAAGGCAAGGACCCCCATCTGGGACCTCCCCATGAACCAGGGCCACTCCAGAGTCTTTTCTGGCGTAAAAGCTTCTTGGTTTTAGGAACATAAGGTCTTTTTTAATTTACTTTTCCATTTATCTCAGAAGCTGTCAGGAGCGCTCCTGAATTCCCAGGGATAAAAGAAAAATTGCCCTCCTGTACTGACAGCAGGACAGCTCAGACTGGCCAGGAGCTGGATCTCCAGGAGATCGACAGCGCATGTGCTAGTTTGGGCTCCTTAGCACTGGGAAGTGTTGTCTTTCTGTTTCTAGGGGGGAACAAGAGCTATTCTGATGGCTGTACAAGCACACATCATTAAATACCTGCTCTTCATAAGAAACACAGAATATACTCACCTGGAAAGGTAAGAAGCTGAGCCTTCCCCTAGGACATACAGAACCTATTTCCTCGCATTATTTGGAAAAAGACAGACTATCAGCAGCCTCTACATTTAACTGAACTAGACCCATGTTCAGGTTTGCACCGACAGGTGGGGATTTGCACCCAGGAGACAAGATTTGTCTGACTCCCAGCCAAGGCTTTTCCCCACAAAAATGTTTTTGTAATAGTGGCAGTTGCTCCCTTGTCCCAGTCTCTGCCACCATGGTCTCAGCCTGCCCCAGTTGCACTGGGAAAGCAGAAAGGCAGGGCTCAGCCCCTGTTGGGGACATCCAGGTGGCAGCCCCAGCAGGGATGAAAGTCCCCATGGCAGATAAGCCATTCCCAGCACATAGAAAGCACATCCATACCAGCAGCAGTGATGGCACCACGCACAAAATTAAATGCCAAGGAAGACGGGCACAGCTCAATGTGCAGCTGCCTTCTGCACAAATCCCTGCGTCGCTTTGCAGCCCTACTTGTCACAGCTGCAGAGTCCTCCTGGCCACCAGCTCACTGGTGGGGCAGGACCTCAGGGGTCCCATCCAGCCCTGGCTAGGAAGGGGCCCGTTTCACAGCCAGGTTCAGGCTCAGGGCTGGGTGGGGCTCTCAGTATCCCCAAGGACAGACCCTCAGCAGGGCTCCCCCCGGCATCCCTGCCCCAGCCCCTGTCTCCCGCCCCGCAGGCTGTGCAGGACAAGCCAGCGGGAGCAAGGGGAGGCACTGGCTGTGGCCCTGGCAGACACCCTGTGGGCAGCAGGAGGAGGTGGGAGCGCCGTGATCTGCCTCCTCACCCCAACCCTCCACCTCGTGCCAAATGGAGACTACAGACCCGACAGCTTCACGGAAAGAGTAAGTACGAAAACGCCTTCTGCAAACAGGATTTTCTTCAAAGACACCTTTGGCCTGAAATTTTTAAAGACAAGAAACGTGAAATCTCATAAACCTGTTCCCTAACTTATGGCACACCACAAACTGCGAGCACTTTAGACCCACATCCCAGCTGCAGCCTGTAGGACACTTCTGCTTCCTTGTAGAGACGTTTGGTGAGTCCAGAGGCTGCTGTTCCTTTTCATTAAAAGCTGGTCTTTCTTCTCCTGCAAAAAGGAGAAACCATTCATGTAAATCTGTTCCTCTAACTCTTTGTATAAAGTGAAACTCCTCGGTTTAGAAAGGGGCAGAGTATACTCTTGCATTATTCTTTCATTTGTCTAAAGGAAACACTGAATTAAAATTCTCAGCTTTGGTATAATTAATGTCTCCTTTACCACGTTTTCCCCTGCGCTCCTGCCCGACAGATCCAGCTGTTTGAGTTCTTTGAGAAAGCAGCAGCTCAGGAGTTCATCTTTGACCATATAAACTGTGTAAGTATGGGATATTTGCTTTATTCTGAGATATTTTGTTGCTTGCTTACATCTTATTTCCCATTCAAAAGTGGACCTTTTTGAGATCAACAGTATTGCCTTCAGCAGGACATCCGGACTGTTAACTTATGGTCAGTTCATGGACCATCTTTAACCGTTCCTACAGGAAATGATCCTGCTCCCATTAAAACCCCAGGGACTTTACCCGCCGATGTCAGCACTCTCAGGCCACAAACACCGGGTAAACAGGGACAGCATTTTGTATATTACTCAAACACAAAATACCGTTCTTGCAACTTTAGCAAAAATCTGGGGGAAAAAAAGTCTACAAAACCAGCTTAGCCAGTAACTGGATATTTTTTCTTTCTTTACCTGATCTGATTCAACAAAATTAGCTACAAAATCTTCCCAGAATAACACCTTATTCATTTGGCTCAACATACTCACTTAAGGTTGTATTTAAGCAGAGTTTTAATTAAACATCGTATACCTGCCGTAATTCCTTTTTTGTGATTGCTTATTTCCTTTTACCAGTTCAAAGGCGAAGGAAGTCATGGAGTGATCCTATTTTTATACAGTTTACTTTTCTCTAGGACACTGGAAAGGTATATTTCATTTTTTTTAATATATTTTCCTCTGGTTTAGTTACATCTTCTGAACCGGTCTTTTCCTTGTTTTACTTAAATGTTCATTCTTAGTTGAATGTGGAGAAGCAAGTGTCCAAGAGGCAGATGCTGCCCCGCTGGCTGTGGTCTATGGGTAAGGATGCTGTACATCCATGGGTAAGGATGCTGTACATACCCATACACGCCAAGTACCTGCCTGCACACCCAGGAGCAGGCAGGAGAGGCAGCAGAGAGAGAAGCCTTCTTGCACACACAGCTGAAATAACATACGGTATAAAAACAGGAGTGATCCCACTGACAGCAATAATCACTGTCACAGCCAATTAAACTTAAACAGGAAAACTACAAGAAGTTTATTTAAGCAGGGAAGAATTCTGCCAGGGTGGCTGCGCTGGCAGAGGTAACTGATACGGTATTTCTAAACTTGACGAAACTAGGTTTGAGTAAAGATGCTTCAGAAAGGTACAGAAGCATACTTATACCAATATGAAACATGATTCATACTAACATGACACTATGGTAGCTATTTAGCAAAAAATCGCACCGCTACATTAAATAGCTGTGCTTGGGCTATGCCTGGGGTATTTGAAGCCTTTCAGCAGTAATTGCACCCAGGGAAATCCCAGCTCTGGCTGCAGGGGGTCAGAATCTCACCCTAAATTTGAATTTCGATAGGAACATTCTCTTTGCCAGCAGCAAAGAGAAATAAACGAGTCTCTGGAATTTTTCCCTGTTAATCAGACAGTGATGTACAGTGATCCCCCCAGGCACCAAAAAGAATCCTACCGTAACACTTTGTGCTTGGTCCTACAGGGTCCAAGAAGATTTAGACAGCACGGCAACTCCTCTGTTAGACATCAGTTTTGGAAACATCACCTGTACACAGGTAAGATCAGCTTAATTTCTCAGGTTTTCCTTTTTTGTTATTCCTATGTTTGACTTAGGAAAAAAATCTTATTTGTTAAGCCGACGGAAAAAAAAAAGCATAAGGCCATAGAAAAACACTGCAAATTTTAACCATGACTGTCCATTTAAAAACTGGACAGCGATGATGACGATGATGATGATGACACCAATAATAAAAATTAATAATAATAATAATGCCAGAGGTAGCCTGGTGTCCCTCCGCTCCTGACAGGCCCAGCAGACCTGGGAGCGGGACCCCAGGGGCCGTGTTGCAGAGGGTTATTGCCCTGGTGCCTGGGGGTGATGGTGGGCTGTTTCCCCACAGGCCATGCTCAGCCTCCTCCTGACGGGCCGGGCCAGCCCGCGGGAGCTCGATGGTGGCCAGGAGCTGGGTCGTGGAGGTGAGGCATGGTGGCGGCGTGGCCCGGTGGGCTACCTGTGCTGGGACAGGGCACAGGCAGAGCGGCAGGTGAGTGCTGGCAGGACCCCATGTCCCTCAGCACAGTGGCTTCGGGGCAGAGCTGGCCCCGCTGGACATGTTGTCCCCCCTCTCCTAGGTGTGCCGTGGGCTGAGGACACCCCAGCTGCCCATCTGGCTGTGCAGCCTCTCCGGCAGGCACAGCGTCCTCTTTGGCACTGACAGTCGGCTCCTCTCCGACTGGAAAACGGAGAAAGTTTTCCACCTGTACTTCTATAACGGGCAGTGGGAGCAGAGGAAAACAGCCCATCTAACAATAGGTACGTACCCGAGCTCACCAGGGCAGGATGGGAGGTGTGGGCATCACGACAGACCACGCGTAGAGCTGTATATGTGCATAGCTAGGTGTGTCTACTTACACATACAGTTAAATGTTTAATATATTTATATAAATATAAATATATCATACAATCATTGAACAGTTTGGGTTGGAAGGGACCTAAAAGACCATCCAGTTCCAACCCCCTTCCCATGGGCAGGGACACCTCCCACCAGACCACGTTGTTCAAAGCCCCATCCAAGGATGGGACATCCACAGCTTCTCTGGGCAACCTGTGCCAGTGTTTCACCCTCCGTTGTTATTAAGCCCCCACTGGCCCAGTAGGAATGCCCTAATAACTAAGTGTCCCAAAACAACTAGCAGGAGAAGGGAAACCAACAGACACCCACCCCTCCCATGGGACAAATCCTAGGAGAGAACGTTCCCATAACTGCAAAGTTTAAATGCAACAGGAAGCAGAATCATTTCACGATTAATTCAAAAGTTTGAACAAACCTATTTCTAAGGCAGTGGTGCTGAGAGGCAGGATAGGTTAACAGCGTGTTTTCAGCATCTAACTTAGACTTAAGTCAGTATTTTCCCGCCCAACAACCAGGTGCCATTGTGGCCCTCGTGGTCCCTCTCAAGTTTTAAATCCACACCAGGAGGAATGAACTGCTCCTCATACCATCAAATGGGTTGAGAACCAGGTTGTGTGCTTAAGAGGCGAGTTTCTTGTATCTGTGCCACATTCACTTTCATTTCCTGAATGCCCAGCCCTTTTTCATCACACTCTGTTCACTACAGCATTCAAAGTAAAGAAAGAAACTTCAAAACACCACACTAAAGGCTAAACTTGCAGGAAAGAAGGGTGAATGGAGATTCACAGTCATATATGCCACGCGGCCACAAAAAAGGATGTGCATCTGTTCAGAAAAACAATATGCACACGTACGTCACAAGGAGCCAAGAGCTGCATTTATAGTGCCTGAATTTCCCAAGGGGGGGCCCATGTGGTGTGGGAGGCAGCCCCCAACAGCCCAGTCGGTGTCATTCTGAGCTCCTTCCTTTTTAAAATCTTTTTGCGGAGGGGGTTTGGACATTTTTTTAACTGCGTTTCCTTTTCAGACACTCATTCGCACCCCTGGGAAGAGGACCCATGTGAAGACCCAAGCACCCCAGGGAAGAGGCGTCCTCCCTTGGAGATGGCCATCAGGACCAAGTGGGCAGGAGCAACTGTCAGCTGGAACGGGACAGAGCCCTTCTTCTGAGGAGTCTCAGCATTCCCCGCTCACCACTGACCCCACCAAACACCACAGTCTGCAGGAGGAAAAATGCTTTCACCAAGAAAACAGCCTTTGTCACCCTGAGCCCTGTTTGCCAAGATGTCACACCCACTGCGAAGCCTGTGCCGGTGAGGAACAGTCATTAGCGACGGTGCCTCACCACACACTTTTTCCAGCTGGTTGGATGCAGGTTCCTCTGCTTCCCACGACAGCTGGCAGAAAAAGGAAAGAGGGCGGCAATTTGCTTTCCTCCCGTGCCAGGCAGAGATGTTAAAGAAATCAAGGTGTCTCTTAAGACTGCAGTGGAAGCGAAATCAATATCGAGCATCGACAATACCGTGTACATCTAATTTATTTAATCCAGTGTGTGCATCTAATTTATTTAATCCAGTCTGCGCAACTAATTTAGCTGTTTTCAATAAGCTAAATAATCTGGTTTCCTCCCAGATCTTTGCAGCTGTGACTTCTGCAACTGGGTCTCTCTCCTGCTTTCAGTGACAACTCAAGCGTGGACTCTGGCCAGGTTGGCTCATGGAGCTACCCCCGCATCCCGCTCACCAGCAGGGAAGCACAGCTCATACATGGGAACGGGGGCAAAAGAAGGTGCTCCTTGCTGTGAATTCAGTGATGTTACTGACTCTGAGCACTCCTGGCACCCTGCAGCAGCCTGGCAAGCTCAGGCAGGGCACATGGCTCCTCGTTTGCATTAACCACTTCCCACTTCCTTTTTAATAGACATCACCCAAAAAAGATCTATTAGTCATACCAAAAGGTGTGTTGCTAATGACAACTCTACTGAGAACAATCAACCCTTCTGCAAGTGATCCAGAAGTTTGGTTTAAATTATTTGAATTTAAAAAAAAAAAAAAAAAAGAAGTGGTCACTACCAGCCTGAGATTCAGCCTGGTCAGAGCCAGGAGCCCACTGGTGAGCAAACTAAGATAGTGTCTGCACTTGTTGTTGCCCCCCTTCTTCAATTTCTGCTCAATTCAGAGCTCCCCTGAGCACATGGCATCCCCAGTGCAGAGCTGTGGGTCAGCCAAAGCGCCGCAGTCCCCAGTTGCTCACAGCCCTGGTGACACCACGACAGGAGTGCCACCACCACCCAGGCATGGATGAACCACATGGAAGAAGGGCTGGGAGTACCCAAAACCTGGGGGCATCGGCGAGACGGCAGTACCCAGCACCAGCCACCAAGCTGCTGGCAAAAGCCAGAGCCAGACGGTGCTGGCAGGGGACAGGCAGGAGAGCACACTGTGCCCCCTCTTCACCGAAACCTCCTGCCAGACTGGGGAGGCCACATCGCCCACCCAGCAGCACCCAGAGCTGCCCAGGGGGCTGTAAGTCAGGGCCGTGGAGAAGGGAATGGAGGTGAGCCCACTTGCAACAAGACACTGCAAGACAGCACCTATTTTAACTGGGAAATACCGACATGCGCTTATGCAAATAATGAATTAATAATGAATGAATGAAACTGTGCGGTAAATGCTAACGAAGCTCGCTCAGCCAGCACAAGGCAGTATATCGCAAGGCTATGTATGCCGTATAACAGCAGAACGGGTTACTGCGGGGATAAAAGGGTGCAAAAACAACTGAAGAAAGGTCAATAAAGTCCTCAGGGTATTTCAGCCCAAGCTGCAGCAACATCAGCATCAATCTAGCTTATCCACATAATTGCACTTGGTGTTGGCATACAGCATATTGAATGAAATGAAACAACAAAATCGTTTCGCAATTTGCAGGAGATTGTGAAGACCAGACCTGCTAACATCTTACTTCTAGAGAACATCTGTAGTGCAGACCTAGATTTTACCCAAGGTATTAGGAAAAATTTCTTCACTGAAAGCATTGTCAAACATTGGAACAGGCTGCCCAGGGAACTGGTGGAGTCATCATCCCTGGAGGCATTTGAAAGATGTGGCGCTGAGGGAAACTTAGTGGTAACTTGGCAGCGTTAGATTAATGGTTGGACTCGATGATCTTAAAGGTCTTTTCCAACCTAAATAATTCTGTGATTCTATGAAAGATTGGCCTTCTAAAACTGTTTTCCACAGCAAAGTGGCAGCGTGGGTCCTTCCCCTTGCTCCCCACAAGCCGTGGGGTCAGTCAGCGCCTCTGGCCCTGCTTGCACCGGCTCCCACTCACACCACAGAGGGGACCCACGTCCGTGCCCACCCCGTGCGCGTCTGTTACCACGCCAGCCACTCTGGCCACCAGCACAGGCAGGGGAGCAGGGGTTCAGGAGCAGGGTCCCCCATCCCTTTGGTCACATCATCATCCCCGGGGCGCCCCGTCTGCCGCCCTGGCTCCCGCTCACCCACACCCCACTGCTCCCCGTCCCGGTCACAAACCCAGGTGCAGCAAACCCCCACCTGATGCTACAGACAGAAAAAGGAACAGAAACCGAGCAGCACCAGACTGCAGGAACACACGCCCTCACACCCCCCTCGGGCTTTCATCCTTCTGCCCCCATGTGTCTTCATCTCTTTTTATAACTTTCTTGCTGTGCAGGGCTAAATTTAAGCTGCTAGTTTCCCTCAGTGAGAAGTAAGCCCTTGCTCATTTCTGCAAGGCAACATCACGCTTATGGATGCTTTAAAAACGAGAAGCGATAATGACACAACCTGGCTATTGGACAGACTTGTCTGAAAAAAAAAACAAAACAGGTGAAGGATGGGGGAATTTAGCAGCTCCGGGACCTCAGAAAGCTCTGTCCTTGTGACAGGGACAACAGCTGCAGCTTTTCACTTCTAGTCTGGAAATTTCTTTGCAGAAGACAAATAAACCTTGCAAAACTGCACACTCATCCCACAGGAACTCCGGGGTGCTGTCATGCACGCAAACACAGGAATATTTGGGGGGATTAGGGGCTAGCTGAGAAACAGTTTAAAGTCTCATCAAGGAATGCAAGAAACAAATCCTGACACACCCAAACGAAACCCATGCCACGTTCCACCACCTTGAATCAGCCAAGTTTCTTCCATCAAGGAAGAAACAAGTATCAGAGCTTCCAGCAGCTCACGGACGCGCTGCAGGTTTTTAACTCTAAGGAAGGCAAGGGATCGGTGGGGTGGAAAGGCTTTTGAGGCCACACGTTACCCCCTGAGATAAACTCCACTAACTTCCCCGGCAGGCAGGGAAGGGTCAGCTCTTCCCCGCATGGATGTGCGAGTATGGCAGCCTCCCAGCCCACCCAGTGCCCTCCCAGTTATCTCCAGAGAGCCATGTCTGCAGCCCCACACCTCTCTGGCACTTCCTCCACCAGCCCAGAGTCTGACCTGTGCTTTCCCACTTACCCCAAGCAGAAGAAATGGACTCTATTCAGAGTCCTTTAAACCAGACACCAACCTTCTAAGTACTATTTTGTACATTATTTATTTATTTTAAAGGAGTCATCGGGGCTGCTAAAAAAAGGTAGGATAGTCACATTCTGACATTTAAAAAAAAATTATATATATAGCTAAATAACATTTTAAAATTAACCTGTATTATTAAAAGCACAGAAAAAACACATTTTGTTTGTACAAACCTCCACACTGTTCCAGTCTATTTGTGAAAAGGCTCTTATTTTTCCTCTTCCCTACACCACAGAATACATAATAAACCACAAACCAAGTGAGAGGTGTTCTCCAAGACCACAGGACTATTCTGGCCTTGTTTTCACACCAGGCCATGGGATCAGGAGGGAAAAGGGCTCAGCACTCCAGGATGGAGACTAGAATCCCAGAGCCTATTAACTCTGATTCTCTAATCTCAAAGGACACACTCATGTGCCTATGGCAAAGTTTCTCAACAGCCTTTACAACCCACTTCTCTGTTTTGTTTTGATATAACCTATAGATAGAAAAGATAGAGGGAAATTTCTCAAAATCTTAATAACTCTGTAGCCTTTTATAGTCTATATATTGTACAGCCATGTAATTTTAGAGAAAACGGGACAAACACCTCAATTACACAGTGTCTGAATCTATTAAACTTTTTTTTTTGCAGCAGCAGCAGTTAGTTATCAGGAGTTTGGCTTTCTGTTGTGAATTCAGTTCTAATTGGAACTGGTTTGGCAAGCCATTGGTGAGGATTTTAAGCGTAATTGCATTCCAAGATGCCAAAATACTGTCATTCTCTGACAGTGATTTTTTTTTTTTTTTAACTACTCAGTGTAACTCACAAATCTTTCCTTAGTGCCATCTAACTTCTAGGGCTCATGGAGAGCCAGCCATGAGAGGCTTCATTCACTGCAGTGCTTGGTTCCCATAAAAATCCAGCAAGAATTCGGGCGCTTATTTCCATTTGTGCTTTCCTCGTGAAAATTTTTCAGGTGAAAACCTTCCTGGGGAGGTCTATAGTACAATCTTGTTAATTTGTACTTTATAAAGTGCAAGACTTTTTCATTACGGCCGAGTGCACTGTGCATTATTGAATGATTTCTCAAAACACCAAAGGAAAACAACCTGTAAAACACTGACAGGAGAACTGGATACAAAAGGATTTTTTCTCATTTCTTGGCCTGTTCCATCTTGCAAGGTTTAATGGAACTTCACAAACATGAGGAAAAAATCAGACTTCAGGTAATGAGGCACCTTCCTTCTAATGAAAGTTAAGTACAGAGTGCCTTAATTGAAAATTTTGTGAGGCCTGGAGTCAAGAATGAGTCACACAGCTGCACATCCCAAAGGATCTTTGATAACACCACTTTAGTGAGCGTTAAAATCACTCATATCTCAGAAGAAAGTATTGTTCATTTAAGGACAAGAAGCCTTGGAGCCAAATTGCAACAAGAACTCTTGGGAAAACAATGTATGTGAGAAAAACTTGCCCATTTTGCTGACGGGGGAAACAACCTCGTATGTCTGGTCACCCTGGTTGGATGTGCTGCACAGGGGCACCGAGGTGGGATTTTGTATAAAACAGGTGAGAATTGCATCTCCCTGAGCAAGGAGAGCCATGACAACAGAGGGGCCAGATGGATATTGAACAATATGCCAATATACAAATATGCCTATTTAACAATGACTCTGCCACCAACAAGCAAATACTCTTCTTTCTTCCTCAATCTTGCTATAAGAGAAAAGTGATTTTGGAAGATTTCTGTCCTGAGACTTCAGTGCGTTCAGTGTGACTGAAACACAAGATATTTAAAGTATCACATTTTTTCCCTCAGTCTTCTTTTATCTGGGGAATGAAAACAGCCCAACTTCTTTCCTTGTCTGGTCCTGACATGTAAAACCAGAACTAAGAAAATACATCATTCTAAATCACAATTTTAAAAAGCTCCAAACATCTCCTATTGTTCTTTTTCACATTTTTACGACTACAACTCCCCCTGTAAGAATCGCATTGGCCTTGCCCAGCTCTCCTAATGCACGCTCACGTTTGCAGGTGTCACCTCAGTTACCCGGTTCAGCCCCGCGGTCATCACGCACCCGTGATGGCGGGTGTCACTCTCCCACA